GCATTCGGTAGCCGTTTTCACCATGAAGACAAGTCCAGAGGTCAAATTTTTTTTTTTCAAATTAAAGTACATTACATTAGCTTTAATTTAAGATATATATAAAAGTGTCAGACCTTCCGGAACATTTTCAAAAGTTAAGTTGAAAAAGTTAATTTTTTGTGAAAAAGTTGTCATTTTAAATCCCCCCCTGTGGGTAGAAAAAAGGTTGAATTTACAAAAAAAGTATACCAAATGATAGGTAAAGACATCAAGCATCTATATAAAAAAAAATTATATTGATTCTGTCATTTTTGAAAAAGTTACGGCAGTTTTTAGTAAAAAAAATTGAAAAAATTTCGAAAATTAGCGATTTTTAAATTTGTAATTTTTTTGGAGGTTTCCCCCATTTACGGGGAACGAGGGAAATTTTTTCAATTTTTAAGGGTAATGTCTTCGACTAGATACGATTTGTGNCAGTAAAGGGATATAACTCATAAAAATGTATAAAAATAGTAACTTTCTAATTATTTATACAGGTAATGATTTCGGATTAAAAAAAAAAAAGACTGGTTTCTTATAGTCCGTATTTTTATTGGGGCTACGAATTTTTAATATCGATTGATATATTATAAAGAACGCTTCTATGCAAATTTATAGATAGTGTTGAATTTTAAAAAATTGATGGATTATTCCAAAAACTATATGATCTCCTATTTCCTTATTTATATATTGATTATGAGCTTTATGATTTATAAGTGTAATATATGAATGAATATATATTCATAGGGAAAATTTATAATTACTATTAACAGTAAATTTATCAAAAAGCTCGTTTTTTCTTGGAAAAATAAATCGCAGCCACAAAAGAAAACGCATAGTAAAATACTATTAACATAAATAAGAAATTTCTTCTCACGAGGGTAGACTACAGTGATGGGATCCTTGATAATTATTGAAGTTATTAAATCTAAATGAGATAAAAATCAAATGATTTGAAAAATTTAACTAGAAAAAAATGCATAATTTTAATTGTCACAGGCGAATTTGAACCTCGTACCCTAAAAGCGTGAAAGACACAAGTGTTACCAATTTGGCAACTATTCGTTGCATTCGTCGCAAAATAAAATTAGCAATTTAAGCTAATTAAAAATTTAAAGTTACTTTCTTCAACTTAAAAAAAGCAAAAAAATTGAAATAAGTTTAACTTTATATTCTATGTCAATAAAATTATAAAACATTCATGAAAGTCAGTGTAATCTCCTAGTAAGATATTTTAAAATAAAATGAAATATAAAACCTAGAATATTAACACAATAATAGCATATTTTTGAATACGGTAGCCATTTTTACCAAGAAATAAATCTATATTTCGAATTTTTATTTTCATAGTGAAGCATATAATATAAACTTTAATTTAAGACTAAATAAAAGAGTCAATATTTCCGGAACGTTTTCGAAAATTAAATTAAAAAACTTAACTAGTGTGCAAAAATTCCTTTTTTGAATCTCCCTTATAGGCAGGTTTAGTCAGATTTTCAAAAAATTTATATGAAATGAAAGAAAAATATCTAAGATTTCAATAAAAAAAAAAATATTTTCATTTGTTTATTTTTCAAAAAGTTATGGCAGTCTGAAGTATTAAAATATTTCATGTTAAACAGTGATTTTTACATAAAACTTACATTTATCGTTAAATTAGACCATAATTTTCCAATTAAAGAAAAGGTGTTGGGACAAATTTTTTTTTTGGACTTATAGTATTTATTGTAAGCTTTAATTTGACATATTTTTAAAGGATGCAGTATTTCGGGAACATTTTCAAAAGTTAAGTTGAAAAAGTTCTACTTTTTATACGTTTATTTCAAGTTTTAAACCGTCCTTGTATAAAGGAAAATTGTCCAATTTAAATAAAAAAGTATATTAAATTAAAGATATATATAATGTATTAAGAAAAAAATAATTTGTGTTTATACATACTATAAAATAGCATGTTTTTAACTACGGCAGCTATAAGCACATAGAAGATTAGTCGTCGGGACAAATTTTTTTTTTTTCATTTTATAGTACATGACATGAGCTTTAATTTGATATATGTTTAAAGAACACAGTATTTTCGGATCATTTTCAAAAGTTAGTTTTTATAAAAAAGTTGCTATTTTAAATCCCATCCTGTAAGCAGGTTAAGTGTTAGTTTTTAAAAAAATGATATTAAATAAAATGAAAATATCTAAGGTTTCAATTAAAAAAAAAATATGTAAATTTATTAATTATTGAAAATGTTATGGTAGTTTTAAGAAAAACAAAAGACGAAATTTACCGATTTTATAAATTGTAATTTTTTAGAGATATCCCCTATTTACGGAAAACGAGGGAAAATTATTTCAATTTTCTAGGGTAATGTCTTTTAATAGATACGATTTGTGATCTTTTGACGTATCGTTGAAAGAATTGGTCCAGTGAGACCCAAGAAAAAGTGGCAAAAGACACAAAAAAAAAAAACACACCATGGTAAAATTAATACCATCTTACTTCGCATCGAACTAAAAGATCAATTGTTTTCAGTTATAACACAGCGACGAATAAATATAAACAGAACTTATAATAATTTCTTTATTATTATTTAAAACTAAAACAATAATACTATAATTTAATGAAGAACAATTTCATGCATTAAATGTTGTAATCATATATTTGTTATAATGAGTAAGTTTTGTAACAAAGAAAATAAATATTTCTTCAGAATAATAAGTAATTAGTAAATATTTGATTACCGTTGTAAGATATAACTATTATCTATATTTTTTTGATTTATTATCATTATCTGATTTGGTTGGTATACCAAGTTTTAGTTTTTGCAAGAATAGTTATTTAACGGAATTGTTAAAATAAAAAAATAGATAAAAATATTTAAATATTAAATTTAATTTTTGAATATAATTTTTTTTTTTTTTATATCGATTTCTTTTTACATACGAATATTAAGCACAATTTTTTTTCGATATAATATTGCTGAACTTCAGTGCGATATTGATATCCAAAAATAAACTGGCGGCCAAAATTATTAGATCACCAAAGAAATTCGAATTAAAATCTGTCGATAATTTTTTGCAGGTGAATTATTTTTTCTTTGAATCTACAGCAATCATGTTTGTTAATATTATAATAATATTTAATAAACCAACAAGATATCAAATCTTATTTGAAAAAAATCTTAAAGTTATTGTGTGATCTAATAATTTTGGCCGGCAGTATACATTGTTTACATACTCTAGTATATTATAATAGTATAAATATGTTCTAACAGACATGTAGTGATATGTTTATTTGTAATTTTTTGAAAGGAAAGAAGGGTCCAAAGGAAAATTTTACCTTCAATTTCGAAACAATTAATTTTAACTGCAATAAAATGATTAAGTAAAATGGAAAATTTTTTGGGGTGGAAGATGAGTATGCTCTATATGAACTTTCATCTAAATACGTGCATGGTATCTTACTATAAAATCTTTTTCTAAAAATCTGGGTTTATGAACATATGTAAGTTTTATATACAGAGTGTTCAGGAAGGCAGGAAACGGGTTTCTATTGTTCTTATTGTTTGTAACAATGAGAACAATAGAAACCCGTTTCCTGACTTACTGAACACCCTGTATAACTCAACCGACACAAATGAATTTCAGGCCCGAGAATACCATTTCCATAAAAACTCCTCAGTTAATTATTAGATTTTAAATTGTTAAAAACAGTTTCAATTATAATACCCGTAAACATAAAACACAAACAAAAATAAAATTGTATAAAATATAGGTTATTACATACAATATTGGTTTCGATTATTATAACGTTTGTTGGTTTGTTAATTTTGATAGTCAGCACATGCGGTGGTGGTTTACCTGCACGACAGATGTTGAACGAACATATCTTACGCTATCTTTTTAAGGTCAATGACACTTTAAGTTAGACTCGAAGTTAGTGCGGAGCTAGTAGATATATACTGTATATCTACAGTCTGTGTCTGTATAATATACAGACACCGTTTCAATAGTAAATAGCAATAGTAGAAACAATAGTGACAAAAATCCGTAATAAACGTACACGACCACGATTGCTCGAAACAATTATTACACCACACCATCAAGTGAATGACAACGGAAAATACAATTTATGGTTCCGGAAACTTCACGGTTAACAATTAATTTAAAATATTATACATAAACCACTCATTCCAGTTATAACAACATTGCTGAATATTATTTAAGTGAGAAAATAGATATAATAATTTAAGAAAAAATTTTATTTCCAAGGGCATCCGGCCAAATAGGTTGACGCGAACTCGTAGTTTGTTTATAATTATAATTTTTTTACTGAGAAGAACAAGGATAATGTTCTTAAATTTTGAAAAATGATATTTGCCAACCATCTTGTATATGAAAGACCAATAATACGAACGAATAAAAAATACTTATAATGTAAATTCAATTTTCAAATTTTGTAATTTAAATTAATAAATTATTTATTACTCTACACAACAAAAATTATCTTCATTAAACAATATGATAGTAAAATTTGCATAGAATTTTGTCGTTAATTCCGAATCTAGCTTTATAATTTTCAATTTGATTCTAATTTTTGAGATAATTGCTGATTAATGAAAATCAAATAAACATCATCTCAAATTGTAAACTTAAATAATTTTAAAACTCGTATACAATTTTAAATAAGTTATTTAGCAATAAACAAGAAAAAACTAATGGTTTTTAACTATATATGAGTTGTATACCCCTATAGTTTAACAAATAATGGTGACACATACAATCTAATTAAATCAAATTTTCAGAAAATTATAAAGGATTGTACATAATTTTATTTTAAAATATATTTAATTTTAGAATTTAAGATAATTTTTATAAAAATATTGTTATAATTTTTATATGTTGAGTTTCATATTTTCTTTTAATGTTAACAGCCATTCTTTCAGTATCTATAAATACTAAAGACATAAAATAATATTTACATTTTTTATACAATATTTTATCAGTCATAAAAAATTTATAATAGAGTTCAGCTTTGATTATTGATAAAATCAACTTTGAAGGCCCACGTTTAATGACTTAAACTAGAGATATAGATCACACATTTTGCAAGTGCCTTTATATATAACACATAACAGTTTTAAATAGGATTTTTAAATTTTTATTTTTTCATAAGTCATTAATTACATAATTATCTGATTTTCACTAATTAATGATAATTTAAAAAAACTGGAATCAATATAAAAATTCTAAGGTCAGATTCGAAATAGGCCAAATAATCTCATTCAGAATTTACTATCATACTATTAAATACAAAAAATTGTTGCAACATATAATTTATGAAATAAAAGTAATTATTTAGATAAAGTTACTAAAGATGTGAAAAAATTAAAGACACCTGTATATTTAATCATAGTAATCAAAATTTCTTATAACAAACTTTTTGAAAGTAAAAGTATTTCAAATAAATATTTTTTATAATAACTTATTACATTCAATTCAGTTTTTAAATAATTGTATATTCGGAGTTTTAAGGACTCAACTTTGAAAAATCAAATGAAAACACATTATTTTAATTAATACGACATTTATAGTAATGATATCCCCAACAAAAACTCTAACCTAGAACAATGAAACTGTAAATAATATTATCTGAACAGAATCTATCAATATAGTGTATCCAATTATAATAATAACAGTTATTGTATGTATCATTCACAATATATTTGTCACACTGACTGTCAGTTATCATTGTTAACATTATCAACTGTTTAGATATCATTATTACTAATTTTAAAGGTAATAGAAGTTATCAAACTACAGTAAAAATTCTAAGGTACAAATAATAATATAAATACATTTTATTAGTTGAAAATGATATAAAATTTAAATTATACAGAAAATTTTTTTTAAGATTTCAATATGAGGCAACACCACTTTTAGTATTCAATAGTATCGATTAGTGAATCGATTTTTTTTCGACAACTATTTGTGTACAATCTAGTTTCATTTAATACACAAATTATTTCAATTCTACTCTAACCGTTTTAGTGTTAACCATTTAATATTTTGTATTTACTGTATTCCAACATCTTTGAATTTTATTAACAATAAGAAAACAATTTTTTAATTTTATGCGAATTATATTGTTTTGTAATATATAAAATAATAAATACATATAGAATTATTCTTTCAACACTAGTCACTCCATTTCTCTAAATCTAATAATTTTTCTTATACTACTAAATGTGTTTAAGCTTCCATTATTATATTAAGGAGTATGTTTAAGGATAAAAACTAAATACAGATACAATAATTCTAAATTTTCTATTTTACTTTTTACAATTTTATAAAAATTTTATATCGTTATAAAATAGTTTATTATATTTTTCATTAATTTTAATTTTCAATAGACTTATTTGAATTCATTTTTTTTTTATTCGTATTTTTAAGCAATCATTATCAAAAGAACTATTAAGTTACTTTAATTTGAAGTATTACCTTTAAATACAGGTTGTTATAAATTATTTGGAAACTTGAAAATAGACAGTGGCCTGCAAAGGCTAAATATACATATAATGATGTATTCTGAAGATCCAATTTAATTATTGTGCTGAGAATTTTTTTTAATTTTATTTATTAAAATATTTAATTAATGGTTATTGGCTATACATTTAAAATTGGCAGTAAATATCGGAAAAAAATGTAATTTTAAAACTCTAGATATTTATTTAACTTAATGACAGACGGCTAAACGTACCTCAAATAAAGTCCTCAAAAATATATTGTTTTACATAAAAAAAATATGTAATTAAATCTTTTAAGTTTTAAATAATTTAGTGGCTCGAGAAAGTTTTTATTTAAATAGACATTATTTGTGCAACAAATAATGACATATTAATAAACACTGATTTAAAAACGTAAATGTAAGTATTAGGTAAAATATTTATTAAGTTGTTGTTCAATTTATATTTTAATTTTACTTCCATTATATATATACTTTGATAAAAGTATTTATATTCATTTAAACATTTTTTCCTTTTTATGCCACTAATTTTCCCCCAGAATAGTCTATTATGATTTACAGTGAAAAGGAAATAACGGTATAAAATATACGTTATATATTATGATACGCATAGATTTTTTTTTCAGGTTCAACGTTTTACTGTCGATATCACAGTATAATGAATCACGAACAAATAGTAATGTGCTTCACATGTTTATTTAGAACGGGTCATACGAAAATACGTGTTATGACGGTGTTTTTCTAAACCGGATGGAAATATATTGTAACTATAGCAGTAATATTGAGTGTATTACGTGTTCACTAGTTGATACCTAATGTATTTAAATAAGTAAATATTTTTCAAATGACACTACCTATAAACATTAATAGTGTTTTTTTTTCAGAAGTCCTACAATGTTAATTGCTAGAATTCGGTATGCAACGTCATAATAGCAACTCGTTAAGTAATGAAAGGTCTCTGTAGCCATGAATCTATAATGAAAACAAAAACCCTCTTTTGCATTTCTTCAAAATCTATCACGCATATGCATAGCATGATAATTCGATTGCATTTTTGTAATCGACAATAATGATTAATTCTTTTAATATTTTTTCATATCAAAAAGAAAAATTATTAGGTAAAAATATATAGAAAATTTTAAACAAGCATAGTGATACAATAGACAATAATAATTAAATCTGTAGAAGTAGTTTTTCTATATGAAGCGATTGACACAGTACAATTAGTTCGGCGATTCATAACTTAGGTAGAAATAAAATACAATTCATTTCCCTTAAGTTAACCTAAGTCCCCTTAGGTTCGGACAACATTAGTATATAAGGTAATTCTTCTTCATTAAAAAAACTATATCCGTATATCTATGTAATCTTAAAAATAACATTTTCAGTCAAATAGTTTAAAGTAAATTTATTTATAAAATTTAATAACCAAATACGTAACTGAAAACCATCCAAAAAGAATTTAGAGGAATGTAAAATATTTTAGGGGTTTATTTACATGTGTCTAGGATCTTGAAAAATAAATGTTACTAGGATCCAAAGTCTAAACTATTACTTACGTTATAAACACATTAATTTATATTCACTGAATTGATAATTAAATAATTATTTTTATTACATAAAAAAAGTCACACAATATGCATTTCACTTACTAAATCAGCCAAAGCCGTAGTTACAAAATTTGGCGAAAAGTTAAACCAAGAATAGTTTAGAATAATTAATTTGGTGGGGGCTAATTTAATTTAATCCCTCGAACAATAATTTCTATAAAATTATGCAAAAATGTTAATTAAAAACTAATAGACCTGGACCTCTTAGTTTCCCTACACGACGCCTACAAAACCAAATCTTATATTTTTCTAGAACGAATACGCGTTTGCTGCACGATAGAGGGGATGATCCCTTAACCCCTCAATTACTGGCTTGAAATCAGATATTATTTATTTTCAAAATATTGATCAATACATATATTTTTAGATTTCAATATGTTTAACCAAATAAAACTCAAAATTACCTGGCTGTATTTTTTTGTAACTGATGAATAAAAAAAGTTATTTCAGACTTTATACCCTACATAGATAGACAAATTATTATGACAGCGTGTAATAGGAATAAAATATTGTTTTAAAACACTTACATACATAATTTAAATTATATGTTTTACCTTTGATGCAGGATAATTGTGAAAAGGTATTGGTTATATTAATATTTATTTTGAGTTTGTCCATAAAGTTGTCAGACCAATTTATTATATAAAATCATCATTCAAAAGATCCCGAATTATATATAATTGAAAACATAAAATTATTCTGAATTCTTTTAATATGTCGAAAAAATTAGTATCAACGTAAACAGCCATTTTTTTCATATATAACATTTTTTCAATTCTCATAAAATATTTGACTTAAGAAAACTGTTACACAGCAGGGTGTGATAATGTTGAAGTTGCATAGTTGCAACAAATATAGATATCGTAAAATGTAAATTTTTTACTGCTAAATTTATGAATATGTTTTGAAGTCCGTTTCTTTCTTAATATATGTTTATATTATTATAAATCAATAGTAAACAATAAACAAAAATTGATGGGGAGACCAAAAGTTCTTGTAACTCCTTCAAAAAAAAAAAAAATTATATGTATTCTTATACAAAAAATTTTAATTTAATTTAATTAATTAATTAATCTCAACAAAAATTAACAAACTAATACAATACAAGACTCAAGCATATCATTAAATTCACAGTGGTTATGCTGTAATTGAATAATATACAATTTAAAATTTTTTATATCATTATAAAATTACACTACTAAAAAAAATATCCGAATTTCAAATATATACATTGGACATTTTTAACGCATACAGCGTGGAAATATGTCAATTATTACAAACAATTAGAACAATAGAAACTTCTTTCCTTACTTAATGAACCAAAACTAAACCAAAACTGACCAAGATTAATTTGTACCCCTTCACATGAATTCATTTAGAAGGATGTTCAGTAACTAAGTTGTTTAACTGATATAAAAAAAACGGTAGTACAGTGGAATACAGTGTAGATGTGGCATAGTTAGGACAAGTATAGATGATAATATCATGTATTATATGACAGTGATTAAAACCACTTAAATAATAAACATAAGAAACGCTTCGATGCAAATCTATAAATAGTGTTTAATCTAAGAATTCATACGAGGCTAAAAAGTAAGTTCTATAAGACTGTAAGTGAGACCAGCTATGCAATATGGGTTAGAGTGTTGGGTGATTGGCAAGAGAATATATCATAGAATGAGTACAACAGAGATGAGAACTCTTAGACGGATGAGTAGATAAACTAAAGAGGATAAGATAAGAGGGAGTATAGGTGTAGCGTCAATCGTTAATAGATGAGAGAAAAAAAGACTTAAATGGTTTGGTCATGTTAGGAGGGGAGAGGAATCGGAAGCTGCAAGAGCAGTTATGAAAATGAATGTCGAGGGAAGAAGAGGTAGAGTAAGACCAAAAGAGAAACGGAGAGATGTTGTTGAATACAATATGAGGATGGCTGATGTGTGCGGAGAATATGTGGAAGAACGTGTCAAGTGGAAGTTTAGGATAAGGGTGACCGAGTCCAAGTAGTTGGGATAAAGGCGAAAAAAAAAGAAGAAAAACAAGTATATTTCTTTACTTTTATGGCAAACGCGTATAAAAATTAATGAGCTTAATGCAAAACTTTTCAGGAAATAATCCTATATAAACAACACAATTTTTAAATCCTCAAACAATTTTCAATGTAATGATATCAATTTTAAACTAAAAAAAGTTTTAAAGTTCAACATTTATAAATTATAAGTTTTTATAAAAATTAACTTAGAAGAAATAAACAAAATATATTAAATATAACTTTATAATAAACATTTTATGACATGATTTTTTTGTTTTTAATAACTTTTTGTTCATTAGTAAATACTTGTTTTTTGACCAATTAGTAAAAATCTCAAAAATTTAACTTTATTTATGTAAGTTAGAGTCATATAATTATTATGAAAATCGGCGACTTTATTTTTATAACCATCTCTTGTAAGATATTTTAAAATAAAAATATCGCCTAATTGTACATTTTTTATAAGTAATAACGGTTTAATATTGAAATCAAAATAAACATGTACACAAAGACAATTTCAATTATAATTTTTCTTTGGGAAGGGGGTATTGTAGACCCCAATCTATTTTTTATAATTTTGGAAAACATACAAAATTAAAAATATCTTTTGAATGTAGTAATCTATATATGTTTAAAATAAAAAAAAATATTTACGAATAAAAATTTGGTATAATGGTCCCCTAACTCTCCTAGTTTACACTAATTTTATAAAAAAACTTTCAAATAAGTTTTTGCACAATAATTTATTAAATTATTTTGAACTTCCGAATTTTTAAACAAAACGCACTTTTTTTTAACTTTGATGTCAGTCTTAACTATGAGGATAAATCTAGAGGTCAAATATTTATGAAGTATATTGCATAAACTTATATATATATATCAGTATTTCTAGAACATTTACAAAAGTTAATTTGAATAAATTTAAAAGTTTTACTTTCTATAAGTGTATTTAATGTTTGAACCCCTTTTATAAAGGTTGAAAATTTTAATTTTGTGTACAAAAGTTGTTATTTTAATTCCCCTTGTGGATAGATAAAGGGTCAGATTTTCAAACAAAATTACAAAATAATAGGACAATACTTAAGAAAATGAAAATAAATAAACACATCATTGTAAAATTGATACATTTTCAGCTTCGCATCGAAGAGCGAACCAATCGATAAGGGTATTGAAAAAATTGTCAAAATCTGATAGTGATTACATACATCTTAAATAAACTTAAGACGGATAAAAAGCTATATTGTTGCAATTATGCTGTATCCCCACTATGTCAAATCTTGATTACTTTTTTTTTTTAATTAAAATAAAAACCATACATTTCACACATGTAAAATCATTAATCAGTTTGTTTAAATGTTAATAAAATCATAAAAATTCTGTTACATCAAAAAAAAAAAAAAAAAAAAAAATCTCTCAATTTTTTCAGTAATTTAAAATTTTACCATTCAATAAAACTATATTTTAAATTGAAAATAAAACTATATTAGTAGCCATTTTATAAATTTGACAAAAAAAAAAAACGATGACATCGATTGTAAATGACAGGTGTTTTTATTTTGTGTGCTATAAGAAAAGGTAGCGTTAACTATTAAAAAAAAAATGTAATACATCCACCAGTCTACATTGAAATCAATAGGTCGTGGTAAAGCAATTTAATACCTAAAAATAAGAGAGGGGACTTTAATAACCTTATAAATTGCTCCTGACTACATAACACATAGAAATAGAACACAAATTATACACGAGGAAAGCTGTATCTATCATAATTAGTGATCTTTAACCTGTTTATAAGTTAAATGAACTATCAAAGGATATAGATTTAAGTTTGCTTTAGATAAGATTGGTGAACCAAATCGTGTTTACCATAGTTAATGTTTTCAAAGTTAAAAATTACAATATGCATTATGATAACGCCAAGTCAATAGAAATTTGTTTGTGACACAACTACGCTAATTTTAAATATATAAATTAACACATATTTTGTATAAAAAATAAATTATGGAATTAGTAATATTAATAATATCTACAAAATTGTAAAATTTTTCTGTTTGTAGTACTTAGACAATAAAACTAACGTTGTAAAATTTTCAATTTGTTTTGAAATACAATTTTTAAAAGAATAATTTCTATATCATTAGTTAATAAATAATGACCTCGCTAATATAATGTAAACACACCAACAAATCTGAAAAAGTACATTTTACAAACTCCGACTAATCATACAAGAGAAAGAGTATGTTTTATTAGACATGCAATTTTTAACAATCTTAACTAGTCTTAACTGCATAAAAAATTATTGATATATAAATTTATTTTTAAAAAAGTGCACAATTTAAATCAAATTTATAAAAAAAAAACGTAAAATATTCGATCAATATAAACGTACAAAATAAATTAAATACTATAAATAAAAAGTATGCCATTAATTATTTTTTTGTTTATTTTCACTTTACTGTCCACTTAATCGGTGGTATAGCCAAGAAGAGACACAAGAGGCTAGAGTACCTTCATTAACCAATTATTACTGTTATCAGTATATAACTTTAGCACTTGAAAAAGTATACGATACGCCAATAAAATTTAAAAAAATTGTAACTTCCATATGGAAAAACTCGTAAACAATCATGTAAACTAAGTATAAAATTTAAATATTAGGGTTAGCTAGTTTAAATATTGAAAACCATAATGTTTTCAAAAGGATTAACCTTTTTCTAAGTAAAGCACTTTTATGGTCTTCGATGGTTTTCTTTCTTTTAGTTATTGTGAATATTGTCACTGAGTTCATATTATTTTTATTTAATTTTTTTTCTTATTGGTGTTTTGAAAACTTATTATAAACATATAGTAAAACTATAAATAAAACGCATTTTTTTTAGTTAATTAATAATCTTCCACAATTCAAAGTATTCATTGCAAGTGTTATAGAAAATGGTGTACATTTATAAATTATGAAATAATGTAATTATCGTGTATATTAAGTGTAATACCATTTATTTATTAACAGGATGATACATTAATTATTATTTATTAAAATTGAAAAATAAAGTTAGTTCTATATTAGCAAATTTTTTCTTTTAAAATAGATTCTACATAAATAGTAATCATAATTATTATTATATTACTTATATATTATATAATTATTCCAATATTATTTTGATTTTAAAACATTTGCAATAAACTAATACCTTCATAATTAATTTCATCATTAAAATATATTTTAGTATCTCTTGTTTATTAAATATTCTATATTAAAATTACCATAAATGGGAAATTTGCAATAATGTTGTCAAATATAATATAAAGGGGAAATTGTAACCTCCGACAACAGTATAGAATTTTTAAATATTCTATTATTGATTGGCATGTA